CTCTCTCTGTGCAGGCTCAGTCTCTCAGCAGAGCTGCAGTTTTGCCTCTCTGCCATCACATTTAGGGACCTCCCTCCTCCCCAGGGCTGGTGTCTGCCCCACACTGTCACCATGAACACTCCCTGCGATTGCCCTTTAACTGGGAACAGGACAATGGGGGGAAAACCATTTCCCTCAAAACTGGTTTTTCAAACAACGATTTCACAGCTCTAATTTGGGATCAGCACAGCTGAGGGGCCATAAGAGTGGCTGCAAATTGGGTGACAGCAGATTCTTAAACCAGAGCAGCTGCCAAAGCATCTTAACATGGAGCTTGTGGCCTGAGGAGGGAGAGGATCTGCTGCAAACTGCTGACCCAGGCCCCCTGCATGCTCCAGTCAGCATTCCTTGGGCCCTGCAGCTTTTGGATGCTTCTCTCCTGAGCACCCAGGAGCAGGGAGGGCTCCTGAGCTGAGTGCCAGGAGCAATGAGCTGCTGTGCATCTCCAATCCCAACAGCTCCACTTGATTTTTTTTTTTTTTTTTTTTTTTTAGAGGGCTCAGACAGGATGGGGAAGGAAGGTTTGTGTTGCTGGCACAATCCAGATGTGTTTTGTGTTGCTGGCACAATCCAGATGTGTTTTGTGTTGCTGGCACAATCCAGATGTGTTTTGTGTTGCTGGCACAATCCAGATGTGTTGTTTCCAGCCAGACACTGAGCATTAGCAGTGCAGGGAAAAATATGTGCTTGGGCTTCCAGTGAAAAACAACAAGAGAAAGATCTTTTCCATTTCTTTCAGCTGGAAAGTGATGCCAGGAGCTGTTGTTTCAGAGAGTCTGGATTTGTGTGGGAGGGGGATTGAGATGCACCTTTGAGTGTGCATCAGGAAAATCTACACAGAGAAAATGCAGAGCACAGAAAGTAGGTCTGGCTGCTGGCTGTCACTTCAGTGAAAATCAAGTGTGTTGTGGAAATCTTTGTGTGTCTCTTAAAAAAAACAAACAAAACAACAAAAACAAACACAAGAGCGTCTGCTTGTGTATAAATAAATCTGTTTTTTTCTGATTTCGTAGCTCCCATTACAGCATATGCCAATTTTTCTGGCATGCTAAAAAAGCAGGAACATCTCCAGGAAATTCTCAGGTTACAACACCCAGATAAAAGCTGCCTTTATAAAGATGCAGCCAGCTTGGTCTTGCAGAGGACAAATGCACTGGGGATCTTGAGGGTCCAGACTTCTCTCCCTTCTTTTTATCTGTTTTGCCAAATCCTTTGCTGGCTGCAGGGTGACTATTGAGACAGCACTGAAAGCTGAGCAGTGGTTTGTTGAAAATTTCTGCTTGGGGAGGGGATAAATAATGTGATTTTTTTTTTTTCCCAGTGACCACCCTTAGATACCCACAAGCACTGGTGTGAGCTGGGAGGAAGGGCAGGCACCTCTGGAAGGATGCTGCTGTCCCTGGGGGTGGAACAATGTCCAGAGAGCCCCAGCACAGCTGATGGGACTGGGTTTGTTGTTTATTAAAAGCAGACCTTTGTACAGCAGGAACAGAAAATCCTATTTCTGTCCCAATAATGCTCTGCTCCCATGGTCGCTGTTATTGGCAAACTCAGTCACTTTGGTATTTACAGAGAAGTATTTACTGGGAAGGGCTGGATGGTGAGAAATTTTCAGCTGATTTCACTTTGCTCTGTGGCACACACATTGCTATGGGACTCTGGGTTTCATCCCTGAACCCTTTCCATGGCATCCCAGTCCTGCAGCAGGGACAGGCAGTGCCCTCCTGCCTCGGATCCTCCTTCCTGAGCAGGGAAATCATCCTTTGGGTTCCCATTTTCCCCCCCTAGGTCACTGGGATGGTGCAGGGCGTGTCTGGGAGCAGCCAGGCTGGTTGTGTGTGAGCTATGACAGCAGCAGAGGGATTAAAAGAAGCTTCTCTAATAAATGCAATTACACAAACATGCTTCAGCCATGTGTCCTATTTAATTCCTCCCCAAGAAAAGAGGCATTCCTCAGGGCACTGCTTTTGTCTGAGTCAAAGAGAGATCCCAGTGCCTCGGGCATCCTCTCCGGGTCCACAGTGGCTCTTCTGTGCCCTGGGTGGCAACTAATATTGGGCTTCAGAGTCCTCTGAAGATCAGTTATCCCTGCAGGACCCAGGGAATTCTGTGCCAGGCAGGGATTTTGGAGCTGGCACAGCCCTGGCTGCCATGCAGACCTCACAGGCAGCTGGCACTGCTGGCTGTGGCTCCCTGCCCGGGTGCCCCGTGGCATTTTTGCCCTCTGAGATGCCTCTGCTTTGTGGAAAGGATCCTTTTGCAATTGGGGATCTTCCCAAGGAAGCTGTCAGGGCTTGGGCTGCCTCTCCTCGAGGCAGGAGTTGGGCACTGATGGAAGGGGACAGCCCAAGGAGGGCAGGGACCCCCCAGACATTGTTTTATGTGATGTGGGATTGCTCTTAAGCAAATCAAGGATCATTGTTAGAGGGCCCAGAGGTAAACCATGAATGTTTCTCTTTTCCCTCAAAACCCTGTTCCCCCCCCTTTTATGGATTTTTGGTCTGAAATCAGCTGAGGTTTTAAAAAAACTACTCAACATTCCAAGGTTCCTGGTGAGGTGCAAAGTAAAGGATTAAATGGTGCAGAAAAGCTGCTTTTGGACTTGCCCAGCCCCTGCCCGTTGGTACAGACATTCCCCGAGGTGTCCCACTGAATAACCTGTGTACAGACAACCCACAATGTTTAATTCAGTGTGTGCCTGTCAAAGCACGTTAAAAATGCAGGTGGCACTCGGTGCCTGTCAGCCAGGCACTGTCCCAGGGTGATGGCACAGACCTGGCACGCTGGGAAACGCTGGGAATGCCAGGCTGGCACTGCCCTGGTCCCTCCAAAACATTGCCTTGCCATGGTGTCAGATGCTGAGGAAATGTGGGGCAGAGAGGATGTGCCTGCATTGTCTGGGCTGGTTTGGTTTTTGATTTTCGGTTTTTGGTTTTGCTCTGTGGTTCTCTTGTCCACGCTCATCTCCATCTCCTGCTGGGTTTAACCCCAGTCCTGAAGATCTCCACATTCCCCGTGGGAATGTGAGGCTTGCACACCCCTCAAGGCCTTTTGTGAAATCTCAGAACTGTGTTTCTGTGCACAGCTCCTGGCACAGACAAACCCCAGTCCCAGGTTCAGCACCTGGCTGTGCAATTCCCAAGGCAAATCAATCCCTGTGTAAGTGCAGTTTGGAAAAAGATCCAAACCAATTTTTGGCAGCCTCCAGGTGAGGCTGAGGAGTGCAGTGAAGTTCATAAACACCAAAAGGGTTAAAAGAGATTTTGCTGGGGCATAAGAGAGAAAACTCAACTCTGGAGCAGCACATTGGGCCCGTATGAAAACACTGGAAATTCCAGGTGTGTCCTGTGAACTGGGCAGGTGCTGGAGCTGCAGAACAGTTGTCTTTTTGCTCTCAGACACCAAACTGAGCTTTGTTTTCTTGCCTTCCAGTCCTTCCAGGGCAGCCAAGGACGAGCTTACCTCTTCAACTCCGTGTGAGTACCCTGCGCACGCCGCGTGGCTCGGGGCAGCTTTAACAAAACCCTCCCGAAAAAGGAAAAAAAAAAAAAAGTAATTTCCTCCAGAAAACCTCTGCCTGGGACTTGGGAGCTTCCTGAAAATGGTTGGAGAATGAGGCAGAAATAGCCCCTGATTCATGTTTGAGTTGTGTAGAGGTTTCAGATATGCAGCAAGGAAAAGGTGATTTTTTTCGTCATCGGGTTGAGAAATCAGAGCTAATGGCTGAGTCATCCTCCTCTCCCAGGATGTCGTTGGACCAAAGAGCCAGAGTTTTGTAAATGTGGGGACAGATGATATCTAAATATGCACTTCATAAAAACTAAGTATGATTTTCCCAGTGACTGGAAATAGTTTTGGGGAGGTCACTGCTGGTCTCTCTCTCAGCAGAACTGCTGATTTCAGTCCCATTTTTCAATTTTGAGAGTAAAAGTACCATTTTATCAATTTGAGAATGAAAATCTTTCTCAAATACCTAATTAGCACAAGTGACAAGAGCCTTATTAATCTCCTGTTCAAAGCTTTCATTGAGTTTTTTTAAGTGAAAAAAAAAAAAATCCCATTTTACCTTTTCATTCTGCTCTGGAACTGCCAGGGAGCTTTTTGTTGTGGGCACAGCTGGGAAACTCAGAACCTCGTGCTCATGTTTTCAAACCCTGCAATGAAATCATTGTCAGCTTTATTGGAGCATCTTGATGTGGAAGGGGCTCTAATGGGGAGCATCTGTGCTTTGTCCCAGAGTTAACGTGGGCTGTGGCCCCGCAGAGGAGCGGGTGTTATTAACAGGACTGCACGCCGTGGCAGATATTTACTGTGAAAACTGCAAAACCACGCTGGGCTGGAAATATGTGAGTATTTTGGGAGCCCAAAATGCAGGTTTTCATCTGTAACCATCTGTTTTCCTCCTGCTTTTGTGTGTGTTGCATTTGGAAAATCAGTTTTAATTTTTTTTATTTTTTTTTTTTTTACTAAGAATTTACACCTGGTTTTGGTGGGGTGACATTTAACATAAATGAGGATAATTTCAGTCTTGTGGTTCACACTGGTTTTATTTTCTTTTCTATTATTCTGGTAGTTGTTATCAGAATAATAGAATGCTCCATTAATCCTGTGTCCTTCTCACTAGAAATACTGTTGAACATGAGTTTATCTGTTTGCTCTTCCAAAATTCAATTACCTTCCAATAAAGTTTAATGTTACCTCCTAATTTCTGCTTCTGGAGGCCCACACCATTTTGTCCAAACATTTTCACCAGTGTCTAAATAAATCTGAACCAATCCCAGTTTGTGTCCATGGCCTCTGGACAGAAATATTCTTCACTGAGCCAATTGAAAGGGTGTAGAAAGGAAACCATAAAGAATGGATGGGGTAGGAATCCATGGAGAAGAAGCTCAGAGATTTTTGGGATCCCAGAGGTTTCCTGTGAGCTGCAGGCACAGATCTGTTCAGAGGGGGATCTTCTCCTGGGAATCCATTCCCACATTAAATTCACCAAAATCCATCCCACTCCCAGGGAGAGAACAACTTCACTTCTAACAAACCTGAATAAATTCCCAAACCACCCTGGAGAGAGATGGATTTCACCACCAAGGATCCCTAAATCCTGGCCCTAGGAGCATTTGCCATTGGCCTGCAGAAATCTGCACATTCTGTGCTGCCACTTCCTTTTTCTCAGCATGTAAAGGCACTAAAAGCAGGATTTAGGATTCCAGAAGCAGGATTTAAAATTCTAGAAGCAGGATTTGTAAGGTTCCAGAAGCAGGGTTTAAGATCCTAAAAGCAGGATTTTTTTTGTGGTTGTGAGTTTGTTTTGTTTTGGTTTTGTTTGTTTTTAAGATCCTAGAAGCAGGATTTAGGTTTCCAGAATTAAAAGAGATTTTTTTTTTTTTAATTTTTTTTTTTAATATTCCAGAAGCAAGATTTTTAAGATTCCAGAAGCAGGGTTTAAGATCCTAGAAGCAGGATTGGTTTTTGTGATTGTGGTTTTTTGGAGTTTTTTTGGTTTTGTTTTTTAAGATTCCAGAAGCAGGATTTAAGATTTTTTTCCCCCATAATTTCCCTGAGAGCCAACAGAAACACCTGCAGTTAACTTTTATTCTGTGAACAAAGCTCAGACCTGCACCAGCACCCCCAAATCCACTCCATAACGTGATTTACACCCAAACATCACCTCCACCTCACTCCTCCTCCTCATCTCATTTCAGGAACACGCTTTTGAAAGCAGCCAGAAGTATAAAGAAGGCAAATACATCATTGAACTAGCTCACATGATCAAGGATAATGGCTGGGATTGAGGGGAGGAGCCAGCCCTGGCAGCGTGCAAGAGACGCCATCCAACCGAACATTTATCCAAGAGTGAGAGAGTGACTGAACGCTTGGTTCCATGCATTTAGAGGCTCTGCAACCCGGGAGCATCTTCACACCCTTCTCCATCTTTATTGGTGACTGGCCTCTAAATTTCTGTCTCTCTGTCTCTTTGCTTTGTATCTGTTTGTGAGTTGACCCTGGCTGCTTCTCTCTCTGTTCTGGCGTTGGCTCCGAGAATGCACCGAGTGCCCAACAGCCATTCCACGCGCCCAGTGCTCGACCCAGCCTGACCTGGGCTCTCCTGGCACCTCCCCAGGTGCCCGAGGCTTGGGCAGGAGGAGGTGGGAGAGGGGTGGGGGAGTGGGGGAACCATCAGGAGGTGATGCTGTGCTTCTCCTTTCAGTCCTGGTTAAGCGAGGCTTGAAACCCATCCTTGTCTAAAAAAGGACAGAGAAATAATCTACTTGTCTAAATGGATAGAGAAATATCTACTCGTCTAAAAAGGACAGAGAAATCTCTCCTTGTCTAAAAAGGACAGAAGTTACCTCACTGTGTTTTCTCTCTGAATCCCAAATCCATCGGCCCAGCCCGAGGCAGAACCAGTTTCCCCCACAATCTGTGTTTTGTTTGCTATTTATGAACTCGTTGTTTGAGGGGGCAGGACCTGGAGGCTGGAGAGATTCCCTGCCTCTCTTTTTTTCTTGCTGGTTCAGGGTAGGGAGGCTGAACATCCCAATGGAGCCGTGGGGAGCATCCTCAGGGCTGGAGAAACCAAATCCTGATTCTTGAGAAGAGGAGAAAACCACTTCAGGCAGAAGGAGTTTGGAGCTGCAGCTTAGGAAATGTGATGGGGTGAAAAAAGGCACGTGGGAGGCGAGGGAGAGGAAATTCCCTAGAGGAGGAGGAGGATGGGGACAAGCAGTGGCAGAGGGTACCCCTGGATTTCCTGGCCTCCCCTGAGCACCCTTGGTGGTGTCTCACCAATCTTTCCCGAGTGCAAGTAGGAAAAAGCTGTTTCAGAACCTTTTCCGTGAATGCCAGGCTCCACTGGGGGAGGCTGGCACAGAAGTGGGGGAGGAGGGAGCCAAGTTCTGGTGGTTGTGTTGCTCAGGTGAATATTTCAAGCCTTGAGGTTTCCTCCCCAAATCATCTCCCCCCTTTTCCCACTCCCAGAAGCCCATTGCAGGCACGGGGAGAATGGGAAAGGAAAAAAAAAAGGAATTCAACATCTTCCCAGCACCCCTGGAATGATCTTTGCTTTGAGGGGTCGATGTGGGGGTCAAAACTGCAAGGGACAAGGAGTCCTTCCCATTTGAATTTTTCCATGGGAATTGCAGAGCACCTTCCCGAGGTGGGGATGGTGGGGAAGGGGTGCTGTGTGTGACAGGGGAACTGGGTCAGGCCAAAATAACAACGAGGAGTTTGCTCTGCAGCAATCCAGCCAGTATCTGGTGCAGAACCCAGGACTATTGAGCTGAGTTTGTTTTCTCTCTCCCCGAGTGAATTTTTCTTTTTGTTGGCAGAATTCTTTCAAGTAGGTTAATCCATGGGGGGAAATCTTTCTTAATCCAGAAGGAAAGAGTGTTGTGCAGGGGGTGCTGACTCCTTATGAAACAGAAGCTTTGGAGCTGTGAGCTGTTGTCACTGGCCCCACTCCTGAGAGATTCCAGGGGGCTGTGGAAGAGTCATTTGCTGTTAAATTGGCTGGGAATGTGAACAGAGACTCTCCTTAAGGATCAGGGAGGAATTTAATGTTGGATCCTTGTGCTGATGATCCTTTCATCCAAACCTGATGAAGCAAAGGTTGTTTTTTTCTCTCTCAAAGCTCTGTTCTTGACAACCTTAGAGAAATGAGGTGGAGCTGGCCAGGCTCCTGCAGGGGATGGAGTTTGTGACCAACCTGTCCAGAGGTGGCTTCTGCCCTCACCCTTCTGCTCTGGCTGTGTAACAATTGCTTCAGCTTTTGTTTTGGATTGTCTCTGCTTCCATCAGCCACATTCCCTCCGGTGACAAATACAGGAAAAAAATCAAAAATTCCACAGCACCTGCTGTCTTGTGGACTCTGGCACTGACCTGGTGCCACTTCCCTGTCCTTTCATTGAGGATCCATGGCAATTTATTGGGTTTTGACTCGTGGGAAGTAATTCCTGTTTTTCAAAGAGCTCTTTAGTCTCCACAGAGCCTTTAAAGGAGCTGGGAGAGGTGAGGGCTCATCCCAAATCCTGTGAGGCTGAGAAGAGCACGCAGGGCTCATGGTTTGATGTTGGTATTTGGAGTGAGTGCTGATCAAAAAGTGATCTAAAAGGCAGGGCTGTGCAGGGAACTGCTCTGAGAAGCAGCAGCTCCAGAGAGAGCTGCCAGGTGGAAATGTTTTTATCCATTCAGTTGGGACAAAAAAAGGACAATGCCCCATCAGACCTGGCTGGTTTTTACTGGCCACAAGTGCTGGGCTTTTAATGGCAACCAGTCCAAACTTGAGTAGGGCAGGGTCTTAATCTGCTTTTAATCGGTTTTGTCCCATCAGTCTCTTGCTGAGAGCCTGGAGCCCTGATGGGAGCCCAGTGTGTGTGGCTGTGCCTGTGCCCAGCACCCAGAGCATTCCTGGGGAGGGGCTGTGATGTCCTGCACAGGTGGGTGAGGAGGAAAAGCTTCGTGCAGCTCCTGTGTGTGTGTCCAGTCAACAGCAAGAGTTTATTTAGTTGGCTGAAGAGGAATTTGGGATCTGGATTTGCTGGTAGCTCCCACAGCAGCACAGGCAGAGTGGGGGGAGCCACAGTGACACACTCAGAGATAACCAAAGAACTTCCCTGCTGAGCTGAGCCAGCTGGGGCCTTTTCCCAGGAGAAATGGAGACCTGGCCCTGGGAGCTGTGGTGCTGCTTTCCATGGGCAGCATCCTTGGGAAAACACAGACAGCAGCGAGTTTTCCTCCTTCTTTTGGTGTCCAGCCTCGTGTCTGGGCAGTGTGAGCACCCTTGAGTTTACATCCCCCCCTCTACCCCAAAGCTCAGACTTGAGGAAGTTTTAAATTGTTTTGCTTTGGTGGATTGTCTTGATGTGAAATCCTGACCCCTGTAAGAAATATTCAGATGATAATATATACAAAGCAGAAAAAATAACCCCCAGACGTTATCTTGTGAAATATACTTTTGTAAATAATATTTAATTTTTTTAAAAGAAATAATATATTTGGTGCTGTTTTCTCAGAGCCCCTCCCTGAGAGCACTTTCTGTTGTCATTTTTGTTTATGGTAATCCTGTTTCCTTCTGTATTTGTTGGAAAATATGTTTAAAGGGAAACAAAAATCATAATTTCCGTTGTCTTCGGAGGTGGATCCGTGTTCCCTGTGGATGTGGCAGGAGAGGGGAGCTCCCAGCTGGCAGATTTGGTGGCTGGGTTGGGGACAGCAGCCCCCAGGGGGGACATTTGGGCTGGGAGGGGCTGCAGGCACTCAGAGGGCTCCAGTTCCCCCCTGCCTTTCCCTGAAGCCCAGGAACCCCCTGGAATTCCCACTGGCCCTGGTCTGTGGGATCCAGGCCTGGGATTTTCTCTTGCACCAGTATTGGCTGGAGTGAAGCAGATCTGGAGCTGCAGGAATTGGGATTGCACAGGAGCTGCAGCCTCACATTTGCTGAGGGCAGCAGGGGTGGAGGATGGAGCTTTTAACTCCATGTTGATTTTAACCTAAACCATAAAATCTTTGGACCCTGATTTTATTTTTGAGGGGAGGTTGTTTTTTTTTGTTGCTGTTTTGTTTATTTTTTTTTTTAACCAGGCTGCTACATAACAAATTAGAGTAAAAGTTTACCTCTGGTGGCAGTAAAGTTCATTTATTTTGTTCTCCTTTCTGTCTTTAATCTCCCCCCTTCTTGCCTTTCTTCGTTTTTATTTCATTTGGTCTCTTGTTTATCCCAAAGTGGACCAACTGCACAAACCACTGGACTGTGTTTTGCTGAGCAAGGAGCTGTTCAGGAACTGTTCAATTCTCTGGGTTTGGTGCACACGACTTCAAACCACACAGGAACAAAACAAACCCTGCAAAATCAAACTGTTCTCGTGATGATCAAGTGAGAATTTCCTCTTGTATGCATTTTTCTAACTGCTCTGTGAGAGTGTGAATCATGCATTTCACTGCACTCCCCTGCTTTGGGAGGAGCTTCCACGTGAAGCAGTTTTAGGATGAAGAGGGGACACCAAACACCAAGCTCAGCTCAGTGGGAAGGAGCTCTTCCCACCACGGGAGAGGCCTCAGTGCTCAGAAACAATCAGGTTAGACAGAGATTTTCTGCAGAAATCCTGGTGAAAAAAGAACAAGAGGGGAAACAAAATCATCTTGAATTCAGAAAAAAAAAAATAAATTAAAAATCAACATATTTAAATGCAAGCAGAATGGCATTGTGTAAGGTACAACCACAAATAAGCTGTTCTCATCGTTCCAACTGTGTGTATCCTTTGTTTTGTTCTTCCTAAGGAAATGGGAATGCTTTCCCCACTGACAAAACTAAGGACAATATTTCCAATACCAGCCTGTCTATGGATGCTCTTGTGTTTACAAATTGTGTATACTTTTATTTCTTTGATCTTGTTTTAATTTTTTTTTTTTGGCATATTCTTTCAGGTCATTTGCTTCAGTCATAAATGCAATTGTTTGTTTTCAAATAATTGGTTTTCACCTTTTCATGTATTTGTACATTGTATATAGTTCTTCAGTATTAGAGGGAGGCGTATTGTTTGTCATATTTACAATATGTGTTGGTGCTCATTTGAGAAAATAAAATTTTCAAGTACTAAAGCTGCTGCTCCAGGTTTCTGCTTTATTCTGTGGAGATCCCTGAACTCCAGAGGTGCTCCCAGGGGAATGGATACAGCAATTGCTGCTGCCTCCAGCTCACATACAAGCACAGCCAGGTGGAAGGCAGTGCTTTATCTGGGGTTTTTGGGAAGGGCAGCAATCCCTGCTCATCCCACTGCTGGATGTGGCAGGGAGCTGTCCCTGTGCCCTGTCCCTGTCGTCATTCCCTGTCCCTGTGCCCTGTCCCTGTCCCTTTGCCCTGTCCCTGTTCCCTGTCCCCGTGCCCTGTCCCTGTTCCCTGTCCCCGTGCCCTGTCCCCGTACCCTGTCTCTGTCCCCGTGCCCCGTGCTGCTGAGTGCCCTTAATTCCCCACAGGCAGAAAAAGCAACTTAACCCTCTTTGGGTTAAAAGAGGGGGTGAGCTCAGGGCAGCAAAGCTGCACCTGAGAGGAGCTGGGGGTGAGGAAGGTGAGGAGGAGCTGGAGGATTCCTGGGAGGGGGGAAAGGCCAAGGAAGGTGAGATGGAACTGAGACCCCAT